TGAGAGGGACAAGGAAAAGGGTTCAGGTATATATCACCCTGCAAATGGTGAGCAAAGAGCAGCAGACATTAATATCAGAGAGAACACATAAGAAGAAACTGAATTCTCCAGCCATCCCCTGCTGAGTTTCCATTAAGTCCTGGCAGCAGTGGGAATCAGCAACTTCTTTACTCAGCTGTTGCTGTAACCTAAAAAGAGCCCTGAAAGGCTCCCCTGAAGGTCATATGGAGAAGACAGGTCAGTGCTGCACTAGATGTGTGTCTTATGGAAAAGGCAGCAGGACAGTTTCTTTTATGACATACATTTTATTATATTTTAGAGGAGCTCAGTACATAGGCATTTTCCTCAGCTTCCCTAGTAGAGCATAGATAATTCTATTCTTCTCTCTGTACACTGAATTTGTCATTATGCCTCAGTGCATATAAACATCATCAGGTTTAAATTGTTACTACTCTCTCTAAATCGATTCCACTCAACATGTAGAAATTGTGTGAGGCTCCATAAACTAAACAAAAGTTCTTCATCGTTGTGTATTTTGATTTTTTTGCAGTCTTTGGACAATATAATCACATCAGGAAAAAAACTGCCTATAATTTGAATTTTAGAATAAAATTCAGTAAAAATATAATAAAAATATTCACAATATTTGAAAATACAGAAAACCACTGTAACTCAATTTGTAATGATAGAGGGTGTCACCTGAGTTTAGGGCTGTGAAATATACTGGCAAAGAGTACGTTGCTCATACACAGACAAGTTGGAAAGTAGTAAGAATTAGAGGTGAATATCCATATATACTTATATTTAGATATTGTAGGACTGTTGCATATCATAGTTGTGGATGTTATATTGAAAAGTACACAATACTGTATCTTTTCCTGAAGTAAAATTGGAAATTTTACATATTGAGCATATATTTCCTTCACCTTTACTGCAATAACTTCAGAAATTCCTTCACAATTTTTTTCTCAAAGAATATATATAGATCTATTTTGCTATATAGCTGTGGAAAGCTATATAGCAGAATAACATATAATATATAGCAGAATAACACTCGTGACAGTTGTGTCCTCCTGGGAACACTGACCAAACACACTTGGCCTTTGACTAAATAAAACTTGAATGATTTGCAACTAGAGAAAATGTCATCTGACTACTGGAGGACATTAGGGAGCAAGGAAGGAATTCTTTCTCACAGCCTGACTTACATGTGAGAAGCTACCTTAGGTCCCAGCCTGACAGCACTGCATAAGACAGGCTTGCTACTGAGACAGGCACTGAGAGCAGAATTTAACAGAAAGGCAGCAGAAGAGAAGACCTCAAGGACAATGGTCAGAGCCGCATCAAACCCAGCCTCCAGTTGTGGCACATTTGTTACTTCTCTGGGAATCCCATCCCCATGTCTCACCATGTTCATCATGAAACATTTCTGCCTTATAACTATCAGAAATCTACATTTTTTTTCAGCTTAAAACCAGTGCTTCTTGTGCTTTAAATTCTTTGCTTCATCTTTCTTACAAGCCCCCTTTAAGTATTGCAGGGCCTCAAGAAGGTGTCCTTGAACCTTTCTCATCTCCAGGCTAAACAACCCCAACAACTGGACATGGCAATTAGTGCTGTGATTTAGTGAGAGTGGTGGTGCTATTTGGTCAAAGATTGGGTTCTGTGATCTTGGAGGCTTTTTCCAACCATAATGATTCTATGACTCTGTGAAGCATCTCAGCTTTTTTTTTTTCATAGGAGGGGTGTTCTTATCCCTCATTTGGAACCACTCTAGCTGGTCCAGGACTTTCTTGTGATTACTAGTGGTAACTTCTTCAAGTGATAGAGGAGCCAGTATGGAGGAGGGTTGTGTTGGACCTTGTAATCACCAGCAAGGAGGGGCTGATGGGGAATGTGAAGCTCAAGGTCAGCTTTGACTGCAGGGACCATGAAATGGTTGAGTTAGAGATCCTTGGGGCAGTGAGGAGGGGACACAACAAGCTCAGAGCCCTGGTCTCCAGGAGAGCAGACTTCGAACTTTTCAGGGATAACTCAGGAGTGATGCATCCCAGCAAAGAGGAAGTCAGTCAAAAATGCCAGGAGGTGTGCATGGATGAACAAGGAGCTCCTGGATGAACTCAAATGCAAAAAGAAAGCCTACAGAGGGTGGGAGCAGGAATAAGTATCCTGTGAAGAATATAGAGAAATTGTCCAAGCAGCCAAGGAGCAGAGGAAACCTAAGGCTGTGATAGTATTAAATTTGGCCAGGGACATCAAAAGCAACAAGAAAAGCTTCTGTAGGAATGGTGGTGATAAAAGGAAGACAGGAAAATTTGGGCCTTCTCTGGAAGAAATGGGGTCATTACCTGGGATCTAGAGAAAGCTGAGGTACTCAATGAGGTTTTTGCCTCTGTGTTAACCAGCAAGTGCTTAAGCCACATCATCCAATTTGCAAAAGGCAAAGTCAGGAACTGGGAGAATGAAGAACGACCCACTGTAGGAGAAGATCAGGTTTGAGGCCATTTAAGGAACGTAGAGGTGCACAAGTCCATGGGACCTGGTGAGATCCACTTACAGGTCCTGAGGGAACTCAAAATTTTCTAATTATATCTAGTCATGTCAAATGACAATTATGCCCTTAGTTCAGTTTGCCAGACAATGCTTAGCCAAAGAGGGTTTGCCAAAATATTTTTGACCGAAGAAAGAGGAGGCATCTGTAGCATCTGCAGGCGAGATCGTATAAAATGTCCCTGCAACACGTCTGCCCTGGCTCCACAGAAAGCTCCAAGGTAAGAGATGGGGTCTGCAGGCTGCCAGGAAGGGATGGCAGCCTAATGTGCCACCACATTCCTGCTGCCTCCGGTGCTCCTGTGCAGGAGGGGACTCCATTACAAATCTGTTTTCAAGGCACCTGCATGTTTTCACTCTTGATTTTTGTGCAGAAGCAATTTGGGAACTGCCATTTTTGTTTTACAGCATTGACCAGCTGCCAGCCCACAAGCCACACATCTGGTGTTACGAGAGGTAAGAAGCTGATTTACTAATTCTTAGGGACAGAGACAGATCCTTGTGGGTGGTGTGTGTGTGGCTGAGTGAATGGTCATTGCTTCACTGTATATTGTTAAGTCCACTGTAGTCACAGTATAAGGTGGTGGGGTGCTGAAGATTGGTATGGTTTTCAAGTGAATTATTGGATCATAAAACAGTCCAGGTTGTAAGGGATCTCATAAGGTCATCTGGTCCACTCTTTAAGGAGCTGTGTTTGAAGTCTCTGACTACTCATGGCAGGCCAGAAAATCCCCATGGGGACATTCTTCTCTTCTGCTTAACTCACCTAATAGGGAGAGGGGTGTACTGCCTTCCCATCATTACTGATGTACCTGAAATTCAGCATTTTGTCTCAGAATATGCAATATGATATTTTGTCTGAAATTTGTCATGGAATCACTAAAGCAGTAAGAGCTGTAATATAAGAAACTAAGCTCTGATTGTTACCTCTCTAAAAGGCAATGCTGCCCTTTGTTCCCTGCTCTGCTTGTTCTTTACCTCACAAGAAATGGAAGACTCAGCCCCCCTCCTCTGGAAGCCACTAGCTGTTCCAGAGACAAACAAAGAATTGCCATGTTATGTTTTCTCATTTTAGTACAAATAAATACAAGATTAAATGATATGTAAATATCAGGTACCTAACTCTATACAGAAAGAGATATTTAAATGTTTTCCTAAGCTGCCCAGTGTTTGCTTTTTGGTGTTTTTTTTTTCCCCTGGGGCGGGGGAAAGAAAAATATATTTCAGATAAATTAATTCAGGCTTTAAAATTCCTTATTTTTAAATACTTCATTAGAGCTTTAAATCTTTGAAATTTGTTTTTCTCTAAAATTTAACTAATTTTTAAAAAACAAGAAGCTATCTCAGTGTGGTTTGAACAGCATTAATCTTCTTTTAACAGTCAGGTTGCAATTTATGCCTGGATTCAAGCAGTTAATAAAATTAGAGAAAATTGTATTATTAATACAATTATAAAAAATTTCTAAACACTGAAACTCAGCCATTAAGAAGTTGGAGTTTTCAGTTCAGACAGTGGAGTACGAGCATTATTATCTTTGTGAAAAACTATCAATTGTGAGAAAAGAGCATTAAAATAATTCTATATTAATTTTAAGAGTGCTTAAGCAGTTGAAAGGATTTTGAGGTTCTTAATTCCATAGTACAATGCCTAAATAGTTGAATTCTAAGTACTTAAAGATTGTTTAAATGTGATTTCAGTAAAGGCCAAATAATCTCCCAAAATATAATTTTGACGTTTACCCTAAATATTGAATTGCACCACTGCAAAAATTCCTTCCAAAAGGCTACCAGCAGTATTAATATAGTTTCTTTTTTTCCACAACTTCTCTTTCCTTCTAACAAGTGCTTACTTTCTGGCAAATTTGAGTAACATATCTGCTCTTCCACAGTGTTGTCTGCTGGCAAGCCCCTCCATAAAGTGCAGCCATGTCTTCGGACGCTGGCCTCAGGGGCATTGGAACAATAAATTCTCTGAAGGGATACCCTGTCTTAGCAAAGTGAGGAGGGTTTTTGAAAGCTTTCTTGGACGTGACACACACATCTCTTGGCGTTTACTATCTTCATAGTGTTTCTGCTGTTTCAGCTGAAAGGCACCTTTGTACTCAGTGATGTACTTTGGCGGTTTTCTTGTTTAAGTAAAGCTGACATCAGGCAAAACATTAAACTTATGTATGTTTCTTTCTCTGTTGTTCATTGAGTTTTAAGTACTGTGTTTCTGCCTTGTTGACAGATCGGGAGAACCAGTCCATCCTGATCACGTACGTACACCCCCTGCGCGGGTCCCTGCGGGGCTGCCCGGTGCCAGGGCACCTCCTGCCTGACCACGCACCCTCTGCTTCTCTCTTGCCTTTGGCAGCGGAGAATCCGGGGCCGGGAAGACTGTGAACACCAAGCGTGTCATCCAGTACTTTGCAACAATTGCAGCCAGTGGAGAGAAGAAGAAGGAAGAACAGACATCAGGCAAAATGCAGGTAAAGTGGTAGATACATATTGGGATCAATGCTTTCCTTTGTTCCTGACATGATTTTTGGAAAGGAAACAAGCAATAATTATCACCCTGCAGGGAACACTTGAGGATCAAATCATCAGCGCCAACCCATTGCTGGAGGCCTTTGGAAACGCCAAGACTGTGAGGAATGACAACTCCTCACGCTTTGTGAGTTGCTTAACAAAATAATTCTTGCAACATAGTAAAGAGAAATTTATGCCAGTCATTCTTTTCTGTTGTTCAGCCATCATATTTCCAAGAGTAAAACTGAATTTTCTTACCATGGCTTTGCCACTTATCCTAAAGATCATTCTCCAGATTTCACAACACAAAAAAATAATTCTGTTTAACATTAAAATGCAAATAAAAACACCATCTCATGTGGTGTTTCTCCTGGAACATATTGTAATGTTAAAAAATAGCTCTGTTTATTTTTACTTACATTTCTATTAATTTTCTAAGAGACAGAATTGCAGGAAAATAAGGAATGAGGCAAGGAGTGATGAAAGAAAGAAAGAAAGAAAAAGAAAGAAAGAAAGAAAGAAAGAAAGAAAGAAAGAAAGAAAGAAAGAAAGAAAGAAAGAAAGAAAGAAAGAAATTTTCTAATAGAATAATTGAATAATATATTTGCTATATTTCAGATTTTATTAATCAGAAGTAAAGTTGGTCATTAGATCACAATTCAGTTTTTAGCAGCTCAGCTATTTAAATTGATATTTCTTAATCATTAAGGAAACTGCTCTCTGTGTGGAGGATATAGTTAGTCTAATTTGTTGAATGAATTTCACACATTCTTTCTCATTTGTACACTCAGCATACTTAAAATACAGTTTTGCCACTGCTGATTATTTTCATGATCAAGAATGAAAAAAATAACTTTATGTTAGTGGTGAACATACAGAGATTTTAAGAAAATGTCTCTAAGTAGAAAACTTATGCCAACTTCTTCAGTTAATATATACCTTCTATGTCGTAAATCTTAAAACACTCATTCCTTTAAAGGGCAAATTCATCAGAATCCATTTCGGTGCCACAGGAAAACTGGCTTCTGCAGATATTGAAACATGTAAGACACTTCACTGCAGTTCACAATTCATCCATTCCCCCCTCTATCCATACAACATATTTTCACCCCACCATCTATACTGCCTTCCCTGTTTTCTTCCCATCTTCTCTCTTTTTTTTTTCCCCTTTTGCTGTTTCTTCTTGTTTCTAACTAAATTTTCCTTCCAGATCTGCTGGAGAAGTCCAGAGTCACTTTCCAGCTCAAGGCGGAAAGGAGCTACCACATCTTTTATCAGATCATGTCCAACAAGAAGCCAGAGCTAATCGGTAGGAAGAATTACTAACTTGGAGGAAGATTGCTGAATATCTGCTCACACTATTACTTGCTTGACTAAACTAGGCCTACATGACCCATCTTATTTTCAGACATGCTCCTCATTACCACCAACCCCTATGACTACCAATTTGTCAGTCAAGGCGAGATCACTGTCGCCAGCATTAACGACCAGGAGGAGCTCATGGCTACAGATGTAAGCAGCAATTCAGAGTATTGTAACTATTGGCATCTCCCAGGCAAAGCTTTTTATTTTACTGGTCCTATTTCAGAGTGCCATTGACATCCTGGGCTTCAGTGCCGATGAGAAAACAGCCATCTACAAGCTGACAGGGGCTGTCATGCACTATGGGAACCTGAAGTTCAAGCAGAAGCAACGAGAGGAGCAGGCAGAGCCTGATGGCACTGAAGGTATCAGAAAATCTTTGGCTGACTTGTTAGAAATAGAAGTGGCAATAATAAATCAGTATTTGGAAGATGGAGTAGAAATGTGTTTAGGTGAGATGGTACATAGGTATGAAACTCCCATCCAAAGTGCATTTGTTCTTCAATTACTGCTCATTATTATCTGCACTACCAACTGCATATATGTCCAAAACTCTCTCCTGAGCTACAATTCTGAGTTAGTGTAACTTGCTCAGTGTGCTTAGACCCACTGAGAAAGAAAAGATTTTTTTTAAAAATTTGTTTCTGCTTGATAGTTAAAGAAAATAAAGGCATTATATTCAGTTATAGAACTTCCACTTCATTAATCACTTTTTATGGCAAAACTACTCATGAATTCCAGGAATAATTTTAATAAATACATTGTTTCTACATGTTTCTGTGAAGATTTTTAAAGACACAAATACCCTTTAGATGTACTGCTCTGTAAAATATTCAATGCAAAGATGATATCAATTGAATAATAATGTCAAGGTTCCCCTGAGAGCTAGTAAGAAAAATTCGATCACAAGAACGTTAAATATTGCAGCTGTTTTGGGAAGGGTTTATCACTCAAAGTGCTGCATGTTTGGTAGCCCTAATTTTTCTATCTCCTTTTCCTTGTACTTAGTTGCTGACAAGGCTGCCTACCTGATGGGTCTGAACTCAGCAGACCTGCTCAAGGCCCTCTGCTACCCCCGAGTCAAGGTGGGGAATGAATACGTCACCAAGGGCCAAACTGTGCAGCAGGTAACAACAACCAGATGCTGACTGGGAACCTCTGACTTGAATCACTTACTCTTTGCTCTGGATATTGTATTTCTTCTGCTCCATTCTCCTTTGGTTTAGGTGTACAATTCAGTGGGTGCCCTGGCAAAGGCTGTCTATGAGAAGATGTTCCTGTGGATGGTTGTTCGCATCAACGAACAGCTGGACACGAAGCAGCCCAGGCAGTACTTCATTGGTGTGCTGGACATTGCTGGCTTTGAGATCTTTGATGTAAGGATTCCAGGGTTAACAGCTGCTCATGAGGGGAAGGATTGTTATATGAGAGGACTTGCAAGTAATATTCCTCTGAAAGTTTAACATGCTAGTCATTTGCAATTTTATGCAGAAAAAACCCCAGTCATTTTTTCTCTAACAGAAAACAAAATCCTTAAAAGCTCCATCAGTACAAGCACAGAGTCTTGTTGTTTGTGCAGAAGCAGAAAATAGAATTTTATATGTTGCAATATTACAATGGTTTGAGTTTCATGTTAAGGATTAAATAACCCAAAATAATTCCAATACATTTATAAAAAAGCTTCTGGAGCAGAGCTAGGAGATGTATTGGCAAATATATAATGAGTTAAAGATGCTCAAAATGTTTAAAGAACCAAGAAATGAATAGTTAGGTGTTTAATCAGAGATATCAAGGGTTTTCAAGTTGGAGACAAGAGCATGCACTCACCTTATTTGCTGAATAAAAAAATGCCAAAGTATTTGATTAATCTTAGGAGATTCACTTAAAAAATCTGCTCTGAAAAGAATCCCTCATTTTCATTATGTAGCTATTTCTTTCTGGAGCTGCATATAGGTTCTTCTGTTATGGTGTTGTCCTGATAATACAGCTGTTTTGTAACTGGGGAGATTTATAAAGGGTGGAAGAGAATGATGAAGAACTGGGCATATTGATGAGGGCTTGTTGTTGTGGTTTTTTTCACTGAGCAGTTCAACAGCCTGGAGCAGCTGTGCATCAACTTCACCAATGAGAAACTGCAACAGTTCTTCAACCACCACATGTTCGTGCTGGAGCAGGAGGAGTACAAGAAGGAGGGGATTGAATGGACATTCATTGATTTTGGGATGGACCTGGCTGCCTGCATTGAGCTCATTGAGAAGGTATGTTTTTAATTCAAGATGTCTTCCATTTTCAAGAACCCATTGTTTTAAATTTCCAATGGTTGGATTCTTGTACTTGGTTTTAATTGCAGAAATACGTCTTGACCTGTACTGTGGCTAATTATGCATTATAGATATTACAAACCCCACCAAAAACTATAGAAGGAATTCTCACACATTCTCTACATGGAAGCTATCTCCATTTGCTTGGCTAAAGGATATTACCTTCAAATCACAGGGCAGTTCCTAAAGCAAAATGAGAACATTTTCTTAGGGTTCTGGAATAAAGCTATCTTGAAATAGATAACTGTATGGTTAATTGTACAGTTATCTGTAATGCTTCTGTATGGTTCACAGCAAAGCAAGTACAGTGCCTTACCTCTGAGAGGAAGAAACAGAGATTTCTTGTAGTTCCTTATAATTTAGGGCACTGATTGAAAATTCAAAAACACAACTAAATATGGCATGGACACATTTGTGAAAAACACTTTAAAATACATTCTTTCTCCTCATGAACTTTAACATGGTCTTTGGCATAAAAAAACATTCCAAATCATGATGCCAAAGTGTAAATCAAGACGGTGAATCTTTTAAACTCACTTTTTAGAAATAAATTTTCTACACGGCAAAGTTTGTTTTTCAGCTTCCTGCCTTTTACTACATTCCCTTTGAGACAAGCCATAATCATATATTCTACAGGCATTCTCTCTTGTTTATTGAACTATCTTCCAGCCCATGGGCATTTTCTCCATCCTGGAAGAGGAGTGCATGTTCCCCAAGGCAACTGACACCTCTTTCAAGAACAAGCTCTATGACCAGCACCTGGGCAAGTCCAACAACTTCCAGAAACCCAAGCCTGGCAAAGGCAAGGTTGAGGCCCACTTCTCCCTGGTGCACTATGCTGGCACAGTGGACTACAACATCACTGGGTGGCTGGAGAAGAACAAGGACCCTCTGAATGAAACTGTCATTGGGCTGTACCAGAAATCATCTGTGAAGACATTGGCTTTACTTTTTGCTTCTTATGGTGGAGCAGAAGCAGGTTATTTTTCTAAATTTTCTTTTTCAAAAATTGGGGTATGTAAAGATACAACAAAAAAAGTTATATGGTTATATTGAATTTTTTTTTTTTTTTTTTTTTTTTTTTTTTTTTTTTTTTTAAGGGGTTGGGGGGGGGGGGGGGGGGGGGGGGGGGGGGGGGAATGGTGA